AAACGACCGGGCGGGCGGTGATATTTCGGGGTTTGCGGTCGAAAATAAAGCGGAAAATGTCCCGTCGAATTCAACAAGCGGTCACAAAAGCGAAAGAAAAAGTGACTGCAAAGCAGAAGCGGGCGGGAGGTTGTGTAAAATGAGTACTGAAACTTTGAGCAAATCGTTTTTTTTCCCAAGTCAATATTCTATTTTACTAACATCATTTGTTCTAACGCAATGGCGTTGACAGACGATGCAAAGAAAATCTGCCACTCAGTGTCACGCTCTGACACATCAATGTTTTTTTTCAAACATCGGCCATTTTGTTTCACCGTGAAAAACCGTTTTATTAGATCTCTTATCAGAGACACTTGAACGATTAGCTTGTTTGTAAACTGTCAGCGTGTACAGTGGGGTAGTAATAAGTAATTTTTTCATCATACAGTTAAGTTCATAAAAAAAACCTACATTGCTGTGCCGAATGGTGGGCTTTTTTAATACATTAACCACTCAGCAGATCAGTGGGTGCCTCGCATTTTCAGTTATTAATAGCACCTGGCTGCCCACATTTAGCAGATGTTATTTCTCCCAATGCATTTTTTTATTATACCCTGCCCTAAAGGCTGTTTTTCCCACCCTGCGATATTTTTTTATGTAACTACCGTGCCCACTGAAAAAAAAATTACCTGTCATTTTTTTTTAAATCTGCCCGGTCCACAGGGGGGAACTGATATTTCCCGCACCTACAAAAAATCAAAAAAATCTTCTGCCATCAACAAAAATACCTTTGAACAGCTTTTCCGATGACTTGAAACGCATCATTATCAATTGTCAAAAGTGGTACACTATAATAAACACTAATATTTTTTTCATCTTCCATTTTATCAATTCCATATGCAATGGCAGCCACAGTACTAAGATTAAATAAAGAAATAGTGTTAGTATTTATAGTGTTACATTACTGGAATCTGCCTCTCTTCCTTTCAAGTGTTGGTGTGCGTACAGATTACTCACGGACCGTTGATGATTCTCATTACGTTGAGACCAGCGATAGTTCCAGCATCCTTTGTAGCTTGGCGCTGAGCATTGTTAAAGCAAGCAGACACAGTTACCACAACAGTAATGACGGTTTCACCCAGATATCCCTCCGCTATCTCTTTCATTTTGCCAAGCACCATAGCGCTGATTTCTTCTACTGTCAATATTTTTGACACGTTGCCAATTGACACCTCGATTTGAGGTTTGTCG